TATCAGTATTTCATGAAGTAAAAGGAGTCGAAAAGACAAGGAGTACAAACCACAGTCAGACAAAGGGTGTCCGACTGCCTCGGCTTCGCGAAATCAACTGCGCAAAAAGTTATGACGGAATGGAACACCAACAAAGATCCCATGTTCAAGTCTCACAAACCAATTCGTGGGCATAGAGCGCGCTCACCAGCCGATTCCTTGGCGGCCGAGATCAGAGACATTATAATGTCTTCCTGTTTCAGCTCCTCAACCACTCACCTGCAAAAACCTGGGTGGACAAAACGAAGATACGAAATACAAAGAGCGGTAAGGGGCCAAGGATGTGCATCGTTGGCGCTGGCATTATAACATTGACTCCAAGTGGCTTGCTACGTGGTGCTTGGGTGGACGACTCGTTGAAAATGTAGCCTTCATTGCAACAGTCTAAGCGCAAGCATGACAGTGAAAACCACAATGATGACAAGGACGATTATCATGGCAATTTCATAGCCGATCTGTTTGAACGATGGTTCAGCAATCTTTGTCGTTCTCTTGATGCGACGCATGGCTCTTGCAATATTCACATGGATGGCGCATCGTATCACAAGCGCATCACAAATCCTGTACCGATTGCCAACTCCAAGAAGAACAAAATTCAAACGTGGCTTGAAACCAACGGAATTCCATTTGACACCAGAATGGTCAAAGCTGGGCTCCTTGTTCTGGTCAGGGAGAATCGACCCACACCAACGTACCAAGCTCAACTGATTGCGACTTCATTTGGCCATACCTTGTACTTCACGCCGCCTTACCATCCCGAGTTGCAGCCCATAGAGATAATTTGGGGCATCATCGAAAACAAAATGGCGAGCCGTCCGTCGAGAAACATGGATGAGATGGAGAAGCGGCTAAAGGGATTTTTCTGTGAGGTGACCTCTGACCACTGGACGTCCGCTTACCGAAAGGCTCAAGTTTTCGAAGACAAGTATGCCGCTGGAGAAGATAGTGTTCCGCTTGCAGACTCTGTGAGCGACAGTGACGAGAACGATGCTCATGTCCCGTTTCTTCTGGGTGAAGAATCATTTGTAGAAATCTCTGATAATTAAGGGTGCGTTCTGGCAAAATTTCAAAGTCAATATGCCATTTTCAGCTAAATTGGGATCAACGATTTATGGCATATTCAAAATGGAGGTAAAACCTCCATTTCGTAAAATGGCATTTTGGGAGGCTCCAGTGAGTATATCCCAACCAAAACTATTGGATTTGGATGAATATCATCAAAACTCCGACCAGTTATTCTTTCATTATGACACATTTTGTCCAATCAACTTCGTCATATGTCTAGTACACCAATGAGAATTTGAATGATAACACTATTTGCCCAATAGAACTTATTAGGGTTAGGTAAGTAGGGTGAGTTGGGGCTTCCGACCTACAAAGTCGGAGGTTTTGAAAAAATATGTGTATGTCTATACAAAATACAAGTCTAATAGATATCAAAGAAATATTTCGACATCGTCCGACGATGGCGTTATCCGGACATACCAGCCTTTTACCGAGTAGTATATCTTCCTACAGATGGAAACTTTTAATCCTTTGCGTCATAATAAACTTGACTTGATGTTGTCCTTAATGAATGGTTTCCCTTCAGCTACCGTTCTGCCCTGTCTTAACAGCTAACGAATATAAAACGTGTATGCATTTTAAGTCAGTCGTGGTGCCCAGTAATAAAAGAAGCATGGGTGACGTCAGTTGCCTTTTTAATTACATATGATATTTCTAAGAGGTACTTCGAAGTATATAGAAGTAGGCCTTCGGTGTTGGCAGTTTAAAGTTCAAAGAGAAGATATAATGGAAATTCCAAATTGATTGAAACTTTGACTGAAAAGTCCAAACTCGGATGAAACGCTCTAGATTTACCACAGCTTGAAAATAGGGAGGATACTCTGTTGTAGAATGATTTAAAATTTAACAAAGAAGTGTAGTTATCCATTACAACAAAAAGCCGTCCTTTGGGTTCACTGTGGAACAATTGTCCTACACAAGAGCTCGTACAGCATTTTCTTCTCAACATTCCACATATTCAACAAAGATATAATCTCCATGAACTACATTGAACTACGTAAATAATTTTGGATCCATCGATTATTCTTGTCAGAGGCGAATACGGCGAGAAGATCAGAAAAAACTGACTATTGATATCACTTCATTCCTATTCTTAGCTAAATAGTAGCATAAACATGATTATGGCACACGTAGTATTGTTTGTTTCGACCTTGCGTCGACTCACTACCGTCGACCCACTACCAGCGCAAGCTAGTTTTCATGGTTCGAGTCTATAAACATTCACTGGTTCAGAATCGTTATACGATTCTTTATAGATTGTGACAAGATTTCTTGTCATATTTTATTGACGCAGATTGCTTGAATTTATTTAAATATCCTATCGAAAATATACTGGCTGTATATATTATAATTATTTGACGCGAGTATATAGACTGCAAGGTATTTTGATTTCTATTGGTCAGGGGGGGTACAGGCATTCTTCTTGCACTGCACACCTCAATGGGTTTGGACGATTTGCAATCTGGGAATACAAAGCGAGCAAGGAAGACGGCAGTCAACGCTTTCGCCAGGTTCCTCAAAGCGGAAAATGTTATGCTTGATTATGTCAAGCAATGTATTCAAAAAGACGCCACCGGAAAATGTTTTGTATCCGTCATGGACAAATTTGGCATGTTCCTTGCGTTCAGCGAAGGCTCTGCTGGCCAGCCATTGGCAAGACATTCATGTATGCAGTACTACAGACAAGTGAAACACTGGCTTTTAGACCAGTTCCCTTTGCTACGACATGTATTGGAAACTCGACTTCTCAAAATGGGTAGAACCTTAGAGAACTTTTGTCTCAAAAGAGAGGAAGGTGGGTTTGTGAAAAAGGCACCTGCGTGCTCCAAGTATGACTTATGTTGTATGGTACGTCATCTGTACAAGAATGCAACCACTTTCAGTGACTACCAAGATGCATCGCTTTTGTGTTTGAGTGTGGTACATGTTTGGACGTGCGTCAGATTTATCCTTTGTTCGAAAAGGAAATGTTTCGATTGACGCAGGCGGAGTGTTCTTTGTGCGCCTCATTCGTCTAAAAACGAGCGAGGAGCAAGGCTTGTCTCTGTTTCCCGATTCTAAACCCTTGACGTGCCCTCTGTTTACTATGGCCGTAGCATTGTCAACCCAAATTGCTCCATGTGCCGATCTGCTCGACAACTTGCCACCCGCTGTGTCACGAACGAATGCTGATCTCAACAATGATTCCCCTTTGATTGATTTGTTGGATGCACCTGACATGGATGTTCAACCCAAATTACCCGACACATCCTCTTGCAACTCTAAAATCACGCTCCACTCTACACTACACTCTCATGTAAATCGTTTACTCGATCGCGTTGCGAAGCCTGCTGGTGTTGAAGTCCATTTGTCGTCACATTCGTTTCGACGCGGTGGAGCCCAGTTTGCGAATGGCTCGGAGCATTTGACGGCTCGGTGGATCTTTGATCGCGGCGCGTGGAACGTCAGCGCCACAAACAAAGGGTTTGGATATGTCTTCAATACCCTCAAAGAAGATCATAAGGTGGCGAAAGTCCTTAGCGGCCAATCTCCATTTCATCGTGTCCGCTTAGCAGACTTGTCGTCATTTGACACTTCGACAAGACTGAAAATTCAACAAGTGCAAAGGCTTGTCTTAGCGTCCTGCTCTGGGCTCGAGTCAAGAAAATACAACATCGACGGAAGTGTGCTGGACATATTGATAGCTTACTTGATCCTACAATTTCCACTGTTTAAAGAATTGAGCCCCAACAGCCCAGCGGTGGTGCGTCTCGAATCGTGCTTGGAACAGGCTGGATGTACCATACCGCAGCTGCTCTCATGGTCAGTTCATTTGGCTGCGGCAATGATCGATCCTGTTGAAAACGTTCAATGCGAGCAAGCCAATGAGTCAGATGAGCGCAAGATGATTAGACACCAAACATCTGTCATTAACCACTTTATTGAGCAAGCCAAACGCCAGGACGAGTGTTTGGATGCGATGGAAGCAAAGCTTGATGCGCAAAAGTCGACAACTGAGCAAATTGCTGAGTGCCAGGCAAGACCTGTTGTTGCAACAATTCCTGCAAGTGATCCACAGTTTCCCCCCAAATGCCGACAAAAAGCCTCTAATGTTCCTCTCAGAGCAATCTGGTATGAATGGTACACGTCAGAGCCACGATTGTGGGTCAAATGCGTCAACAAGCAGAAACGATCGGATTCAAAGTTGCTTGTTGCGTATTTGAAGTTGTTTCTTGACAGTGGATTTAAGCTCGATGACAAAGCCTCCGCATATCGAGACGACGTTATGACGTTGGGTTTGCTTGTCGAGGAGCGGGTGTTGGCGTTTTTGAGTCAACATGGATCGAAGTCGAAAGGAGCAAACGCTGTTCTCAAGATGATGCGATTGCTTCATCGAACAGGAAAGCTCAATGGTAAAATTGTCACGCATCGACGGCTTCTTGCTGCAAGAGCCATCCTTGACCCCTCGCCTGCCTATACTCAAGATGTCCTTGACACTCGTAGTGAGTAAGATGAAGCAAATCAAACAAGTTGTGAGATTATACCTTAATATCCGACTATCAGGTGCTATCGCACATGCCAGAGTGTCTTCTGGTTGAATCTTGCGGCCTCTCATGGTAGTCGACTTGTTTCCACAGCAAGCAAATTCAATGTTCCTTGGTCGCGACTGGAATAGAACCAGTTTCTCAGGGTAACTTGCCATGCGCTCTACGAACGAGCTACACGACCGGCTTTGTGTCTTCTGCGCCATCCACATTGGCCATACTGACGAATACCCAGCGGTTGAAGTCAAATCGCACGTCTATCACTTCATCTTGTTCGAATGGCTGCTTGTCGTTGTGCAAGACAGATAGTGTGCAAGGTAGACAGTCGTTTTGAATGATTGAGAGTAAATACAGTGTAAATCCAACATACCTTGATCATGACTGGAATCGAACCAGTTTCCCAGGGTGACATGCCCTGCGCTCTACCAATGAGCTACACGATCTACTTTGTGTCTTGTGTGTCGTATATATTGCTCATACTGATCTTCATCAAGGGGTTGAAGCCAAGTCGCACATGCTAACGCTTCGTCTTCTTTTCATCCTTGTTCGTCGATTGTGCAAGCCAAATGGTTGTCTGAAATGCTTGAGAGTTCGTAAATCCAACATAATGTGATCGAGACTGGAATCGAACCAGTTTCTCAGGGTAACAATCCTGTGCTTTGCCAATGAGCTACACGATCAGGTTTGTGTCTTGCGCGCTGAATATATTGGTCATATTGGTGACACCAAAGGGTTGAAGCCAAGTCGCAGGTGTTAACGCTAAGTCTTGTTCACAATACTGCTTGCTGATTGTGCAAGGTGGTTGGTTATCTTGAATGTATGAGAGTTCGAAAACACACCATGATCTCGACTGGAATCGAACCAGTTTCTCAGGGCAATGAGCCCTGCGCTCTACCAATAAGCTACACGATCGCTCTGTCCTTGAGCTTGGTTGATCTTGATTTCATTCACAGTGAGCCGCAACTTTATGTCTTCATCGTTGACAATGATGGGTCCTTCACGTACGACACATGACACTCCGCTTGAGGACTTGCGTGAAAAATCGAGAATGATCTCTTCGGTTGTGCCGGCTTGTTAACGAATCTCTGCAAAGCGATATCGATTTTGAGAGGCATATGTTCTATCCTTGCCCTCATTTCTGAATTTTCCATGAAGCTGTCAGGTCGAATTACTTCGAGCGGACACGCTAACTTCGATATCCTCAATCTCAGCCTACAGGCACTTTCAGGCAATTCTGTGTGCAAGGATAAAGGCGTCTTTCACCGAGTCTTTTAGTTCGAAATTCGTTTTCAAACATTCCTCACAAGCGTGTCACAGATATTACTCCTGCACGCTCATTGGTCGGATTTCATTAGATACCTGACCTCTGAAGTCGGATTTTTTATGATATGGAGCAAAATTCTTTGAGATAAACAAGTTCATAGTTTGACCAAAATCATTGAATTTGGCCTCAAAATGGCATTTTGGGCCAATTTATTGTAATATTTTCGGTTGCCAGACGGGCCCTAATAAAACGTTGTTGTCCAGTTGTGATTTAACTCTATTACTTTAAATTGGGTTTGTCTCTGTTCACATTTGAGCCAATGAAAGGGCTTATTTTTAACCCTAATCGTCAAATGGAGTTCGTTTTCAATTAACAATCATTGAAAAAATGACATTTTTCGTTGGGAAGGCATAGTTAGATCAAGTTTATCTTAGAGAAAATATTTTTGGAAAACGTTAGTAGTTTTTTAATTGCTTTCGTCTGAGTTATATTTGATACAGAAGTTTTTCTGAAGACCGACCCCTACAATAGTACTTCGGACTCCGAAGTACAGATAAACCTGCTTGTTTGAACAACGCGCGGTGGAGTGGGATTCTTGTTCAATTCCAAAGGTGTTCAGCTATAGCATTATCGAAGCGTTTGTATAGGCATACAAATGTCAAATTACTAATTTACCGTATGGTATCAGGACATTTCCATAAGTAACGTCTGTCGTTCATCAATCAATACACTCTACTCTGTCTCAACCGAGCACTTGAAGCGCTTCTTGATGTCTTCGTATGGGGTGCCTTCATCGATCATCTTCAGCATGGTGACTTTGTCTTCCATGCTCAAGTCGACCATCCTTCCACCAAGACTAACAATGTGTGGCTAACCAACGATGTGTTCTGACGTTACGTTGTACAACTCATATTTGATCAAATTACTTCGTTTAGCATGAGAGGTTTTTGTTCAATCTACCAGGGTCGACATATATGGAAATCTGTCCGTGGATTGAAAACCTGTTCAGTTCGAAAGGCGTTTAGCTATACGAGGTGTTTAAACTAGCAGGTTTTTCTGTACTATTCATACTCCGAAGTTCGGAGTATGAAGTGTCCTCCATGCAGGCTACAGTGTACGTCAAATGCATGTGTAATTCTGAATCCATTTTTTGAATGGCGGGTCTTCATATGTTCACAGTCTCATGACTGCGTCAGGGTGAAGATTTGGGTGGTGCTTGTCGGGAAGTTGTCCTGTTGTCATCTTGTCTGTCCCACTCGATTAATTAAATTCAAAATTTACTTTATCAAGTGTTGTCAAGATTAAATAGTTAACTCAATCGAAAAAAGTTTACTATTCTATTTAATTTACTTTATCGAAGTAATAGTCGGACTAAATAATTATTGAACTAATTTTTAAAATAGCTATATTGTTTAAGCAGGAGTCAGCACAGCCATCTGATCTCATTTGGGTTTTGGTGCACCCGCAAGCTGCTGGTACGTCCGGCCGGTGGAAACTCGTGATTTTCCACACGCGACTAGTACTGTAGACTAACGTTATTAGAGCTGTTCTCGTTAAATTCACTGTTTGTGATTGCACTGGAGGTTGTGATAGGTTGCTAAAAGCAATAATCTAACACCAGTGTCTTTACATTCCTTGAAGGGTGATAATCGAGCTTACAGAGCTGCCGTACAGAAGTCGAGCTTGTGAGGTTTATTCTACTATACGCTGTGCTGCTTTGCTACTTGTGCCCTTTGGTTTTTTGTGTGCCTGCGCCTGTGGATCTCTTTGGTGTCGACATCGCCGATTCTTGAAAATATTAATTTTAATAGGAAACAAAATATATTTTATCATGGATAAGAACTAATATACATTTTAGCAGGATATAAATTTGTACTTTTAGACCCGTATTCAGAAAAAGACATGGAGCCAATCAAACAATCCGATAAAACAAAAAATGACTTGGAGCCAATCAAAGATATTAATGAAAATAAAAAGGACAAAGAGCCAATCAAAGAATCCAACAAAATAAAAAAAGACTTTGAGGAAACAACAGAATCCCATAAAAAGACAAAAAATCGACCAATGACCTAAACCTTCTAAACCCTTCAATCAAATAAGGTTTTGGAGTTCAAGACATATCACTCACGAGTCTCAAGGAGGGAAAGCGGGATTTGAATGTGATTTGCATTCAACTTCATGTCAACCAATGTCGTCTGTTTACAGGTTATATATTGTGCTTTCTACTCAAAATTTCCCCCGGCGATTGATTCAACCAATCGCCGGCAAATCACCGGACCTTCGAAATATAATACAAATATCAATTTTAGAAGGTTATTTTGACCTTCTTGATCGGGATGGTACACGAAATCGACGAAGCTTCGTCGCTGCGCTGCGAGGCCAGAGGACTCTCCACTTGTTGTACGCTCAACGTGAGGAGAGCTGAATGACGTGGAGTTCTCTTCGAGGTGGGGTCGCTGTGGAAGGTTGTTCAGAGTCATAGAGATGACTTGAGATTTGCAGCTTTTCTCTCACAAACTTAGGTCAGTTTTCAGCCAATCAATTGATAGTAAAATTATTTTTAGCCAATCATATTGTCCGGACGATTTTCAGGCGATTGGAAATATCGCCTGAAATTGGCAAATTTGGACGGAAATCACAATATCATAGTAACATATAAAATCGCTCTGTATTTGTTAGTCCTCAGGAGACTGCGCCAAAGCGTAAGCGGTCTTCAATTATCCAAGAATATTTGGATCAACCCCGTGGTTCATGACGCGGTCATCGACTGTTGTGTGTCCATGACATCCATTCAATCAAGGCTGGCCTCACTCTGACAGTGCATCACCTTCTCCCTTGCTCGCCCTTGGCAAAATATCATCACATTGATCCATTTCTTGCTTTCAAGCCAACAGGGACGCCATCCATCGTCAACTTAAATGTATTCCAGCACACTCATCATCATCCATCACTCCAAGAGAAATCCTCCGTCAAAATATATCAAAACATCGATTAAATTATCAGATTTAGCATACTATTAATAGTTGATTTATTGTCGATTTGATACAAATTTTCCAAAACTGCGCAATCGAATCGCGCCGTTGAATCGAATCACCAATCGATCCGATTGGCTAAAAAAATTTAATTCGTTTTGATTGGCTGGTCAAATTTTGGGAGTTTATCTTGGTTATATTATAATGGATAAATGCATTGATGTTCCGAGCTTCTTGAAATGGCATTTTGAAAGCGTTCATGATGGCGCAGACTCAAGATTACAGCGACGGACCTGCAATGAACACCCGATCATCCCAATCTTCGCAGCTGTCACACTCCCAGGATGAAGAGACAAAAGACGACTCAAGTGGGGCGAATCTCTACGAGATATCACTGGAACCTATGGTCAAGAACACCGTTGGCGAGCGAAATTCCTCGGCCATGAAATTGACGACGTTCATTTGTGGTGGTGCGTCGTGGACTGACATCAAGACGAAAATCTTCCAAAAGTACAAGTCAAAGTGTCTCGGCTTGGCGATACGAAATGATGCTGGTGTTTGGTCTGTCCGAGACGAGGAGCCACAGGAAGACGACTTCGCTTCAATTTTCACGATGAAGCTTGGCAGTCATATCAAAAAGCTGGACAATCAAGGCAATATGCATGAGTGGCTTGTGAACTCACAGAATCAACGAGTTACTCTCTTCATCTACAAATATGGTAACGCCATCGCAACAAAGCCACAGCTCATTGAATTTACTTCAGCATGCATTGCCCCCTCGAACCAAGATCGTTCTGGCGCTCCGAACGAGAGTACAATCCAAGAGTACATTGCTAAACTACACGCCAAGTGGGATGGCACGTGGGAAGGAGACAATCCAATCTGGCGCCTCTGGGCAACGCATGTTGTCAAACCTCCTATGCTGGCATGGGAGTCACGAGTTCTGCAAGATCCACCGCCGCATGTTTTAGTGCGTCTTCGCCAAACAACGTCGATGCATGAACTCCGCATGGAGGCATTCCATCGCAACACCCGCACAAGTTTGGAGATTGTGGATGGCTCGCTTATCGAATTGGAACAACTGAAGCATTCTTTTGACATTGTTGCCCAGAAATTGGCTTCATTTGAGAAGACGCTATTGGCAAAACGAGAGATACTGGTTGCGATGGCTCGAGATTTGGCACCAGTGTCGACAGCTGAAATCCCCGTGCCGATTCTGACCGATGGAGATAACATACAAGATCCTGATCATGACTTCACATTGGAAGACAGCATGACATAGATTTAAAGTGAATTTGCCTCTTGATGCGAGATAAGTCCCACAATCCAATGACTTGTTTATCAAGCTTAAACATGATTAAATTTAATCGTCATCTCGAACAATAAATCCTAAATCGTCGGCGTCAAGGATTAAATCACCCATACGAACTTTGCCATGAGCAAGACCAATACATGGATCAAACCTCCCAGTTGGCGACCACCCACAATGGCTCATAACGTTTGTCAAGTCAAAGTATTTGAATCTTTGCATGATCTCGACAGTGAAAAAGATTAGATTCCTTTTGCTTTGGGCTTCAACATAATACCGCTGAAATGCTTTCTTGAGGAAGCCAAACAGATATTCAATAGGGTTGTAAAATGGGCAGTACGCGGGCAGAAAAATAGGTACAATACCA